TGCTCCCCCCTTACTCCAATCTGAAGGACATGTGCCTGCCTCTCCCCGTGGAGGCCCCTGGGCTCATTCAGGTCAGAGTTGGTGCAAGAAAGACAGAGCTGTGGCTCCCAGTGTTAAGATCAATAGGACCCCACACAATACGAGACATCAGGAACCCAGGGAGTGAACACCAGGGAAAGAAGAGCTGGCTCTGGGGGGCTCCCTGGGAGAGATGGAATTGGACAGGCCTCCCCTGCAACCATGACCTGGCACTGCATGGGCATGCGCACTTGCCAGGCAGAGATGGAGGAGGCAGCTTTTGGTACTAGAGTGAAGGGGTAAGGAGCGGGGGGGGCGGGGGGAGAGGCAGGTGTGCTGAAGAACTCCCCTTGTTTTGTCATGAGCACTCCCTAACCCTGGCTATACCCTAGCAAAACCACCCCACCCAACAGCAGGGATACCACAGTTGGTTCTGCTTCTTCCTCTGGGGGTGGTGCATAGGAAACCTGGCCAAAAGGATTCACTCTTGCATCACTTGCTGAGCGCCAGACGGGAACCACCCCATGGGCGACATCCAGCGAGTTTATATTCTGAGATCCTTTTGGGGGTCCTGAGCCCCTGGTGGAAGGACCTCTGGCTAAGCCCTCCCCAACTGGCAGCTGGTGACGTGCCTGGCCTTTGCCCCAGTCCCCTGGTTGGGAGGGATGATCTGGTCCTCACACAGGAGCTGGTAGTAGCTGCTATGGGACCATCTGCTGAGACAATCTAGTCTAGTGGTCGGCACACCGCGGCTCGCGAGCCACATGTGGTTCTTTGGCCCCTTGAATGTGGCTCTTCCACAAAATATCACATGTGGGCGTGCACGTACAGTGCGATTGAAACTTCATGGCCCATGCACAGAAGTCGGTTTTCAGAAAGGAGATAGATGAAACAAGTATACATGATGAGTGTGGATGGGAGAGTTGGCATGGGTCGACCTCAGCGAACGTACCTCAGTCAGATTGAGGACGTTTTTAGCCAAGGCCAGCGTAGGAATGAATACCCTAATTAACTCTTTGCAGTTGTATTAAATTTTGGACATGGGTGTCGTACTGGTCGGAATTAATTTCCATTGAAAGAGCAGTGATACATAACATTCAAGATTATGAAGGATAAACAAGATTTATTAATTCTTTTTTGGAACTACGTCACTACTAGTAGAATCACTACAAACATTATCACTTTCTACGTCAGAGGCAGTATTCAAAGTGCCAAAATAAAACTCAAGCGAGAATGCCTAATTACAGTTAAACGTAATTTGTAAAGCTTTATTTGAAATTCTGCGAAGTATCTCCGAAGCTTGTCGATTTCTTCACTCTCAAAAGGCAACTGACTCGCCAGGGTGTTTTGCATGGCGAGTGTGGAACGACCGCGTTTGTTTATATTGAGTTTCGATATCTCCGATTTGTCGGGGCAATGTTTTGGTCCGTGACAAGGTCGCTTAGACACTTAAGAGCTTTCAGAGAAATTATGAACTGATACATGAATGAATAGAGTTAAGATTCATACGGTTCCTTGCTGTGGTGGCTGAGAGCAGACATACGACCGCAAAGGGTTAATAACAATGTACCTACCTATATAGTTTAAGTTTAAAAAATTTGGCTCTCAAAAGGAATTTCAATCGTTGTACTGTTGATATTTGGCTCTGTTGACTAATGAGTTTACCAACCACTGATCTAGTCCTACCCAAGGTCAAGGGCCATGGTGGAACCTTGAAACTTGTGAGGCAATTGGGAAGCAGAATCCCACTCACAGGCAGGTCCTGCAAAAGGCTCCCTGGGTATTTGAACTTGGGAGTCCCAGACACACTGAGACAGCAGGTGGTTATTTCAAAAAAAGTCTTTTAATTGTTCAAAATAGCACAAAACGACATTGCACTATGGTAATATTGTGTCACGGGGGTTACTCTACAATAGAACGGGGGTACTGTTCTTAGAAACGATAAATCAAAGGGTGCTTGGGACGAGGGACAGGGCAACAATGAAACCAGGCGAATGGGCTCCAAGGTGACTAAACATGACATTTTCCACAGCGAAATATACTATAATACAACAACCGGAGGCCCCAGAAAGGAGCCGGGCGGTGGGGGCATGGGAGGGGAAGGCGGGCGGTCATCAGCCATAGCTGGTCTCCACTGCAGACTGGGGTTGGCAGGTGGCGCCTGAAGATGGGTAGCTCACTTAATTGTGTGACCCGCTTGCAAACTTTGCTCCTTACCTGAAGCTTGTGGGTGGGGCAGAAAGCTGGCTCAGTAGCTACTCTGAGCAGAGGCCTAAGCCTGAGTCCCCACAGGACTGCACAGCCTCGGGACAATGCTGCACATTCATAGACCTGGTAGCCAGTGCTGTTAGTCCACCCTTTCCTTGGGCTAAGCCACACGCATGCCCTCTACCTCTGAAAAGTTCCCCTTCGTGCCTACCCCACCCTTTCCCTTACTAAGTTGCTTGTGGAGTGGAAGTGGGTGGCTGCAGGAAACAGTAATTTGAGGGTGTCAGATACTCAAAGCCAGCTACGCCAAGAAGGGAGCCTTGGGGTGGGGTGTGAGGGATGCTGGGAACCCAGGATTAGGAGGATCGTTGGCCAGGGCCTCTGGACTGTCCCCCTCAGAAACCTGCCTTGAGGCTGCGCCCATGGAGAGTGAAATTTGACAGCTCACCCTTTCTTCATCCCGGAGGCTTGGGGACAGGCACAGGGGCAGAGGGCAGGGCCAGGAAGAGGAAATTGAGCTGCGTATAAAACACCAGGTGCACGGAGGAGATATCATGCCTTGTCTGCCCTGGCTGCCCCCAGCTTTTCCTCCAGAAAGATCCCTGCGCCAAGGCTTAGCCAAGGAGAGAAAAATTAACAAGAAAAAAAAAACAAAACACATTCTGTACACAGCTAACAACAAAAAAAGGGACAAAACCCCACACACTAAGGCTAAAATTACAATAAAAATGTTGCCTTCAATTTCAACTTAAAAAAATACAACAAATGCAGCAGTTGGTGATGTGGCCCCTGGCCCCGACCCAGGGGGGCCGAAGCCAGGCTGGGGGTAGGCGGCTTCTGTAGGCCCCACTGGGAACCAGGTTTTCACAGAACACTGCTCAGCTCACCATGGGGCCCCTTCTCCCCCTTTCTGTGTCTTTCTTGCCTTCTCTTAAATGGGAAGAGGGAAGGGGCGGAAGTGGGGAAGATAAAAAGGCCTCTGAGAAAATGTGTAAGCTTCCCGTGGGATCACGGGCAGAGATGGGTTGGGTAAGTCAAGGGTGGGCTATTAGGTGGCGGGAAATGCAAAGGGAACAAAATAAAATAAATCATACACACACACACACACCCAGCTCAGGGTGCCCCCGCAAAGCCTCTCTTGCTTCTTGGAGCAGAGGCAGGGTAGGGGGGCTGAGGGGTGTCGTTCCCTGGCTTCACGTCCACTGCCCCTTGGCTGCATTCTCCAGCCAAGGGTGATCACAAGCAAGAGGCTCCCAGGTTGTGGGGGTGCAGACCTCTACTGCTTTCGCTTCTTTGCTTTAAAGTTTGTTTCCCTCCCTTGGGGTCTCTGGCCTCGGGGGAAGGCCTGGAGAGGAGCAAGTGCACTGCTTTCACGTGCTCACTGTTCCAGACCTGCCTCTGCTTCCTCCCAACAGCAACGGTAAAATGTGCTTTCTTGAGATTATTTTCAAAACAGAGAAAAGGAGAGAGAATGAACGGTGGCCAGTAGCTTGGGAGGGTAAAGTGTGAGCGCTTGGGGATGGGATGGCCCGGGAAGGCCCTGGTGGGTGGTGTTCTTGAAGCAGAGGGGGGGGTCAGGAGAGGAATCCAGGTGCGAGCCAGGGGAAAGAGAAAGTGGTAGTTAGCATGGCTCTTGATGGCACTATGACTTGCAGTAGGTTGCTGGCTGGTACCCAGTGGGGGTTCATACCCAGTTAAGCCCCCTCCATCATTTAAGAAGTGGAGCCCCCCACCCTCAGTCTCAGAAGGTTCCCCAAAGGGGGCTTCCCTCTTACATTTCCGGAGAGGACATGGGCCGCTTGCTGGCTGGCTTGGTGCCAGGGCTGTCTTTACTGGTTTCTGAAAGGAAAACGGAGCAGTGAGCGACACAGTAAGGTGGGTCCAGTAACTTCAGCCACACAGCAGTCCGCAGGCGACCCACCCTGCCCTCAGCCTTTGGCCCTGCAGCAGCACCAGCTGGCCTGCTGGATGTGACGGCCCCTCCCTCTGGTGGGTACATTCCCCATGGTACTGGCCACATGTGCCACCCCCCAAGGTGGCCTTGGACTCAGGTTAGAGGCCCTCACTGTCCTCCCTGGTCAGCCTGTGGGAACTGGCTCATACCTTACCAGGGCAGCCTGTGGCCTCCACTCCCCACCCCAACCCCTGTCTAGCCTCACTCTGGACCCTTCTAGTCCTCTCCACCCAGCTCACCTCAAACACCCCTGGGAGGTTTCCCTGTACCTCCAGATGAGGCAAGGTGCCCCAAGGGACCCCCATAGCACTCTAGGCTATCACCTGCTCCACATGATGCTTGCTGGGGCTGCCACCCCCCAACCTGCCCCTCCCCAGAGAGTGCCCAAGAAGCCTTATGAATGAGTGACACCCACCCTGCAACCACCTCACTTGGGTGGCTGGGCCGTAGCCTTTCTCGTTGCGGGCAGCGATGCGGAAGATGATGGCGGGCTTGGTGGTGTAGTCAATGTGGGCGTTGGAGAGGCTGGATGATTGCACGAGGCAGGAGGGGCTGGGCCCGCAGTACACGCGCATGAAGGCCAGCTGGGCAGGGGTGGAGCTCTTGGTCTCAGCACTGGCCTGTGAGCTCTGGATAGCCAGGTACACCGAGTACTCAACGATCTTGCCGGAGGTCACAGAGGGCGGCTCCCAGGTGAGGTGAGCACCATCTGGACTCTAGAATCAAAGTGGCATAGGTCAAGCGATGCTGGTTTTGGCCTGTGAGTTTATCCTGTGCCCTGCCCGTGCTAGGCCACTTCACCACTCCCCGGGCTGACCACCCACCCCCACGTCATCACCACTCCTAACACAGCAGGCTGCTTTCACAGAAGAGTTGAGGGAGCGCCAGAGAGATGGCCTCATCTGCCTCCATCTAAACGGTAGCCTCATGCAATGGCTAAATCAAACGATCAGGGCCCAGCTGGTATGGGCCAGTGGTTGAGCGTCGATTTATGAACCAGGACTCACTTTGCTGATTTTAATGGCACAGGGGGCCCCTGGGAAACCAGGCAGACACGTCTTAAAGGCTGAAATCTCACTGAAGGGCCCCCGGCCACAGGCGTTGATCCCAGCGACACGAAACTTGTAGGCTGTGCCTGGCTGCAGTTCATGCTTCTTCAGTTGGTTATAGTCTGGAAGAGTGCCCGAGTCGTCCTGGGGAAGTGGCCGGAAAAACGGGAAGAGGAAGAGAAGAAAGGGAACATCAACCCCACTGTTAAGAGGGCAGCTCTGGGGACCTGCGAGTCCATGTCGGGGAGAGGAAGAGGGAATGAGGGTGAAAATGACACCCACTTCCCAACAAGGGGAACACGGCAAAAGGACTGCTGCCCTCGGCTGGCTCCAGGCAGGGAGCTTTAGAAGGCTCCTCAGGGCCCTGCACCAGCCTATGGCCAGGACCCACTCTCCTGAGAGCATCAACTCCCGGGGGCTCACTTACATCAGACGGGGCAGCATCATCTGGTGGCAGGAAATAGTGTGTCACCATGACATTAGTGCCCTTAATAACCCCCACATCAAACCACTGGTTCTCTTTCTTCACGGGGGCTTTGCTGGGCGGGGGTGGCAGCTCTGGCTTCTGGAAGACAGAAAGGGAAGACGTCAGGTCGTTGGCCTTTGGGGCCCAGAGGTAGTGACCCCCGAAGCCCCATCACATGAGACTCACCACACCCAGGGACTCAATGCCATTGGCCACCTCAGTCAGGGTAGCAGCAGCCTGTAGCTTAGCGGGACTGGATCCCACGACGGGCTGGGGAGCCACAAACGTGTTGGAAGGAGCCAGGCCTGGGAACAGAAGG